CCAATTGGGCGAAACTGGAAATTGGAGACTAGCATATATCAGTTATTATTGCTATGTAACAAACTACCCCTAAACGGAGGGACTTTAAAACAAAAACTTACTATTTTTCCTGATTCTGTGGGATGACTGGATGTTCCTACTTCGTGGTAGTGACTGCTGGGGTTGCAATTTCCAAGACAGCTTCACTACTGTGTCCGGTACCCGAGCTGGGTAGGTCGTAAGGAATGGCGGCCGGTCAGACTTCTTACGAGGTGGCTCCAGGTTCTAAGACAGCTAAGGGGGAGCTGTCAGGCCACTTAAGGGCTAGGCCCGCAACTGGCCCAGTACCACTTCCCCCACATTTAATTAGTCAAAGCAAATCAAGGGCCCAGTCAGTTCTGGGCGGGGACTGGACTCCACCTCTTAATGAGGACAGACATCTGTATGCAGCTGGAAGGGCCCTGCAGTGTTTCAGGTGACAGAGGAGAGCAGCTTGGGCCAAGGGCTACCAGTTGAGTCTGGGGAGACGGGCTGTATTCTCAATATATGTTGAAGGTAGAGCCAATAAAATTTAGAAATAGCTTTTTAGTCAGCTCGGGCTGCCGTAACAAAATACCGAAGACTGGGTGGCCTATACAACCAATTTGTCTGCTCACAGGGCTGGTGCTGGAAGTCCACCATCAGAGTGTCGGGATGGTTGGGTTCTGGCGACGCCTTCTCCTTGGCTTGTGACGGTCACCTGTGTGCTGTGTGCTCGCATAGCCTTTCCTCGGCCTGCCCATGTGGAGTCACACAGATTGCTCTCATCCTCTTCTTTTTTAAAAAAAAATTAAAGTTGATTTTAGAGAAACGGAGAAAATAAGAGAGAGAACACCAGTCCCCTGCCCCGTGCATCCATGCACACACTGGCTGCCTCCTGTATGAGCCCTGACAGGGGATCGAACCTACCACCCTGGGGCATCGGGATGACGCTCTAACCAATGGAGCCACCTGGCCAGGGTTCGTCTTCTTTTATAAGGCCATCAGATCTTATAAAAGGTCTGGATTATGACATCATTGAACCTTAATACCTCTTAAAAGCCATACCTCCAAACACTGTCAAATTGGGGGTTAGGGCTTCAGCATGTGCATTTTGGGGGCCACAGCTGAGTTTATAGCAATTAGCATGTGGAATGTGAAAGACAGAAGACTGGTCAAGGATGACCAGTTTTAGGTCCGATCAGTTGGAAAAAGAGATTTACACGAAGCAGGGAATGATGCTGAGAGATGGGTCTCGGGGGATGGCGCTGAGTTTGGAAATGTCCATTTGATCAGGAGGAGACACTGAATCGGTGCTGGGCCATGAGTTTGGACCGGATGTGGGTTTTCAGATACAAAGTGAGGGGTCTCTGGTTCTAGACGGCATTTAAACCCACGAGAAGGGGCTCAGTGAGAGAGAGTAAGAGGAATAGACTGGAGGTCGTCTTCTGCAGCAGATTAACCTGAAGGAGCCTGGGGAGGTGGGGAGGAGCCATGAAGGACTCGGCAGAATGGGCTGGCGAGGTAGGAGGGACGCCAAGGGGATGTGGTGTCTGGCAGCGCCGCAGAGAGTGACAGCTGAAGGTCCTGTGAGATGAGGAATGAGTGGGGATCATCAGATTTGGCAACGTGGAGGCCAACGTGGACGTCATCGGTGCCCTTGCCAAGAGCAGACTCTGAGCAGCGACTGAGGAAGAATGGGAGCTCCGGCAGGGGTTTCACCGCAGGCAGCGGCAGGGAAATGGTGTGGAAGCTGCAGACAGAAGTGGACTCTGGAGATGGATTTTAAGATGGACGACATGGCAGCATGTTTGTGTGGCGATGGGAATGCGGCAGGAAAGAGCAAAAGGAAAAAACAAAACACTGTACAAAAGGGGACAATTCCTGGCACACAGGGAAGGGAAAAGGCCCGACACTGGCCTGGCTCACTGTTCACCTCCTTCAAGTCCACGTCCCCAGGTCCCAGGACAGTGTCCCCTGTCCACTGGGATTACAGACCCAGTGAGGCCTTTCCTGACCCCCACCCCGACCCCAGGAAACCCCATCCTTCACCTTTGTGGAATTATTGGCCATGCACTAATTCCAGGTTTAAATCTTTGAAACTGCCAAACTGTCTTCTACAGTAGCTGCAAGATTTTACATCCCCCCAACAATGTATGAGAGTTCCAATTTCTGCACATGCCCACTAACACTGCCTTTTTTATTATTATAGCCAACCTAGTGGATGAGAAGTGGTATCTCCCCATGGTTTTGCCAACCCCATTTACTCCCTCAACTGTGGTCTTCCGTCCTCGGTAAAGAACCAAACATCATTTCCTCCCAGAGCGTTCTAGCTCGGCCTGTGAACTGGCACAGATATGGGAACTGGAATGTGTCCACTTCACAAGAACGCTTTGGACCCTACCGGTTCCTTTGAAATATTCGAGTACCTCACGACAGTCCCACTGCCTCCCCCTCGCCCCTCCAGTTTCCATAGTCACTACGTAACATGGTAAATGCTGCAACGGTCTCTTAAGGGCCTATTTTTTCTTCTCTTACTTTATTATGTGATTTATTTTCAATACCCTAAAGCAGTTTTGACATGTGATTTTTTTTTCCTGTAAAGGTGACAAACATTTTTAAACAGAGTAAAAACAGGTGCGTCCGAAAGGCTTCGCGAGTTTACTGAGTCCAACGCAGGCACCGGGAATGCGGGGGGGGGGGGGGGGGGGGGGGGAAGCACACCCTTCTAGGAGGAGCAAGGTCTTACGGAAAATCTTCGCCTCCCTCACCCTGCCTGGGGGTGATAACCTTCTTTTAAAAAGAACCAAGAACATGTTTTGCCGAATACCAAACTGTGTGTTACATCTGAAAGAGAACAAGGAGACAGTCAGGGCGGGGATGCAGGTTGTTAGGCGGGGGCGGGGGAAGGTATTCCCAGACAAAGCAGCTCTGTGCGAGCACCTGGGGCGGGGGCGTATGCAAATTAGTGCTGGGAAAGTGTTCCTGGGACGCCCCTCCATCAAGCACTCTGAGAATACGTCACAGGTAAGGAAACCTAGTGTTGTGATCGGTGCATTGAAGGGAAGCAGGGAAAAGCCGGGCAAGCGATGCAGGTGTGGCCGGACACCTGAGCGGGAGGGGTGGCCGGAGGGGGCGAAGGGAGATGGCTGGTTTCGGAGAGCTGAGGTCTTGGGAACTGCTCTTCCAGTGGAGTTAGGAATAATGCCCCTTCTCCAGACTATGGTAAAATAGGTATCGACTCTAAAAATGTCACAGCCTACTGGTCTCCGTGGATCTGGAGGGAGTCGCATTAAAATGATTACATTTATATCAGAGCTGTCTTTTACCGCCCGCATGGTCAAGTCATCTCTCATCCAAGGCGGGGTGGGCGTTATGTGACAAGGGTCAGACCTCGCACAAACTGAGTTATTTGCTCAACATCCATAAGCCAAGACGTCAGCCCGGGTCCTCAGGGGGTTTAGCCGCAAGGAATGTGGCCAATCAATTCATGTATTCGAAGGGCCACACATGTATAAAGGGTGGTGGTTCCGTTCCGGCTTCAGAGCGGCAAAGTCCCTAGAGATGACCCACCACCTGCACCTGCCCGTGACCCGCGCGTCGGGGACTTGAACTGGCCGTCCTGCCACGTCCTGGCCGAGCTGGTTCACCGGCTGTTCCTGTGAAGTCAGGGAGGCGGAACGGTTGCCCGCAACATGGAGGAGACTGAGAGAAACGGCAGTGGAACGTACTAGTGTTTCCCCTGCTCGGCCCAGGTCACCCGGCTTCCAGGCCGTAGTCGCAGCTTGTGTCTCCAGGACGCTGGGCTGCTGCTCAGTTGCCGAGCCTGTCCCGATGGGGACGGCCATTCCCGGATCGCTGCGGAGGCTCGCGAGGGGCCGGGCAGGGCCGGGCGCGAGGTCTACAAGTCGGATACGACCGGGCAGAACCTGCCCACAACAGAAAGCTCACCATGTAGCAGCGCACAACTGTTACTACAACTGACGTCTGTTTTATTTGTTTGAGAGACGGGGATGGATGGTAATATACTAATTGAGCATTTACTACGTGAAAGACACTCTTCTGCGGGCCTTAGTAGTAACTCACTGAGTCCTCAAATAATCCCCCGAGGCGGGTAGTGTTGTATCCCCATTTTACAGATAAAGAAACGGAGGCTTAGGGACTGGTTACTTCTTCAAGGTCCCACGAAGGCAGGGAGTGTGGCTCCAGGGGGGCAGAGGGCGCCGGGGAGGGGAGCAGAAGGTGGGCGTTTGCCTTCTCAGAGAAAATGCGGGTTACGCCCTCCATTTACTGATTGCGTATTTCCATCACTTTAGCTCCTAAAGTCACTTTAGCTCCTAATGCACTTAGCCAGGAAGAAGTTTGAAAGGTAACCTGGGTCCCTGGCCCGGGTAGCTCGGTGGGCTAGAACGCTGTCCGCAAACACCAAGGCTGCGCGTTCGATTCCCCGCTCACCGCACATATAAGGATCAATCATTCACAAGCAAGTTCCACTTACTTAGGAAGCCATAAGTAATGGAACAACAAATGGATGTTTCTCTTCTCTAAAAATCAATGCATTAAATCAACAAATAAACACTAACTCTGTGATGTTTAGGCCTAGATCCTAGCAAAACCCCTCGCAATTTGCTCAGGGACACTTTCCTCCCAGTCTGGCTCTGGCGCCACAGGGCCGCCTGCGTGGCGAAACTACAAATCCCAGTATGCACCGCGGGGGGAGGCTGGGTCCACGCTGAGGGAACAGGAGGGTGTCCCAAAGGTGCCTTAGGCGAAGACTCATGTACATTTATACATTTTCCACCACCTTTCCACCTTCACATAGATCTCACCTCTGTATGGACAGATGGTCTTATTTATTAGCAGCGCCTGCAGTTTAAACTTGTAGAGTCGCTTCTGACGCCAGGCACGGCAGAAGGCAGGTGCGAAGACCACACTCGGGCGCAACGTCCTTCAGACCGTGCGCAGGGCGGAGCCAGTGGCCGTGCGGCCTCCGCGCAGGCCGGAAGTGTGAGAGGCTGGAGGCAGAGGCTTGAGTGTTTGCGGGCGCGCGCGCTTCCGGTCCTTCCATCGACGTCGGCTGGATGCAAAGGGCTCCTGGACAGGCTCTCCCGCCTCTGCCTTACACATTCCTCCAACTTAGAGGCCTTCTGTCTCAGCTCGGCTTGTTGTAGGCTGGGACGCCATGAGCAACAAAGAAGGTGGCGTCCTCAGCAGCCCTGGGCGTTATTTATCCAAAGCGGGAGGACGTTTTGGTTTTTTGTCGGATTTCTCCCCCTCCCCCGAGGGATGCCCCCGTCCCTCGTAGGCTGGGAGTGCCTGCCCTGGTGACTTTCCCAGCCACACTGGCCCTGTTAACACCTCTCATTTTTCTTGAATGCACGAGCTGTTTTTTTAAAAATAATCTTAACTGCGAGATTACTCCATCTTGTACCAGATCAGGGAACCTATTGGTGGTGTCCAGGCTGAGCGAGCTTGAGGTTTGGGGGAGAGACAGCTGCTTTTCCACCAGTCGGCTGGGAAAGCCTCTAAGGCGAGGGCCCGAGGGCATCTAGCTTTAAGGAAGGAAGGGGTGTGTCTGCCTGCATTACGTTGTTTCACCTCTTGGTGATGGAAGAGCCTAACTTTTTTCTCCTTCTCTACGTAAGGATCAGGAGGGTTCAGGAAAAGGAAGCATGACAATTTCCCACATAACCAGAGAAGAGAAGGGAAGGATGTTAATTCATCTTCACCTGTGATGTTGGCCTTCAAATGTAAGTTCTCTGTAATGTAAGCTGGCGAAAGAAGAGAACTAAGGAGGTTGTAACAAGGATTGTGTAGCCATTGTTGTGCCCCAGAAAGCAGCCCCTAAGAATTTTAGATGTGTGTACGTGAATATTGTAGTTTTCCTGGAGGTTTTGGGTGGTGGTAGGTCGGCCGTGAAAGTCAAAATGATGAAAGTCTCTTGGCTCTTTTTCCTGAATACCGTTCCACAGGTAAACATTGTGTAATCGACATGAGACATGCACGTGACCAGAACTTAACCATGTAACGGAATATATCAGTGTGTGTCTGCTATGTGAAATACGTCAGCTATGCACACATTCTCCTGTGCTGCTTAATGACCAGAAGAAAGATGCTAGGGAGAAAGTTGCTAGGTGCTGATTCGGGGTGTGTGATCCTCATGGAATGCACTTAACCTCTGAGGCAGTCCAGCCTCCACTGTGCTAGTTTGATCTCTACTTTTGTGGGACTCCCAGTACTCTGGGTTTGTTTGTACCAGCATTACTGCAAACACTGAGGAATGTGTCGCATTTCAAAGTAACTGGTGATGACGTCAGTAGGCGACAGGAGATTTTCATCTCCACTGTAATCTTACAGATCGTCCTGGTATATGAGGGTCATCAACAACAAGAACATCGTTATGTGACACTTGACTGTATATCAGGTGTATTTACACATATGTTTCATTTTTTGAATGTGTATTGGCTTTGTTTCCTCAACTAGACTTCTGAAGACAGACTATATTTTTGTTTTGACTGTAGCACTTTGAACAGAGTAGGAACTCCTATCTCCAAGTAAATCTCGGGTGCATGGATGCGTGGATGGATGGATAGATATGTATTCACTGTTCCCCTTTTCTCAGTATATTAACTTGGTAAAGTTGTTCCTCATGTCAAAACAGAACGAAAACAAAATTCCTCTGGTCCTTCAATGTCATGTACCTTGTAGTTCCAAGGGCTTAGGAACCTGAGAGGGGTTAGCAGTTGATTCCGACTTGCAGTCATCTGAAGGCTGGAGTGGGGCTGGGGGACTCGCAGCCACAGACAAGTTAGGGCTCCTGCCAGCAGCCAGCTGAGGTTCCCTCCACTGCTGCTTGAGTGGCCTCGCGGTACAGCATCTGGCCTTCTCCAGCCAGAGGGAGGAGAAATCCCCGGTCCCCTCAGGCCCAGTCTTGGGCATCATATACTGGCACTTTTGCTACATTGTATTGTTAGAATGGAGGCCTTTATTTGTTAAAAAGGAGTTATAAAAAACTCTGCCTCGTGGTATTTAAGGGGCAGGGAATTAGGGTCCACTTTTTGAAGGGAGGAGTCATGTAATTGTGGCCATGTTTTAAAATGACCACAGCACCTACAGTGATAGTCACGGACGTGGGACAACTAGTTAAAATTGAGTAGCGAGCTTTCTGATCCCAGCTGTCACTCTGGAAAAACTACAGCGGGCCGAGTACACCCCCATCCCCTGACACTCGACAGAGAGCTGCTTGTGTCCAAGTGTGTTTCACCGTTTCGTGTTTTGGCCTGCCTCTCACACGCAGTGTGTTGTGCTTGGAATCACTGGGAACCACGGAAACGTGGTGTGCCCACTGTGCATCCGGTGCGCTGTGGTCTTGTTCAGGACCCCAGCTCAGGTATCTTCTTCCCGCCAGAACCTTTCTCATTGTTTTCTCGAGAGAAGTTGGTGACAGACATTGCATTCATTCATTCGTTGTCCATCCGTTCAGCCACGAGCTGTTAGTCGGGCATCTGCTGTTGTTCCAGCAAGTGTTAGAGAATGAGAAAAATGTGGTTCCCTCTTTCCTGAACCTTCTGCCGGTACTATAGGACGGCCACGTTTTATTTGGCTGTTTCTCTGTTTCCAACTGTGCTAAACCCCTTGAGGGTAAGAACTGTCTCCTTTAACTGTGTGTTCCTACTACGTAGTTCACAGAGGTCATTAATGTATTAATAATAAATAAATAATGCATTGAGTGGTTTTGAAGTATTAGGCAATATCCTAGTCCAATATTATTTCAATAATAAAATACTACATGTATTTAGGGCCTTGTCAACTATGTATTTGCTTCATAGTTTATTCAAGTTCTGTTTTTGTTTTTTTTAAATTTATTTTTAGAGAGAGAGGAAGAAAGGGAGAACGAGAGGGAGGGAAACATTGATGTGCGAGAGATACATTTCATTGCTTGCCACTCGCATGTGCCCAGCTGGGGGACCTGGCTCACAACCCAGGCATGTGTCCTGATTGGGAGTTGAGCCAGCGACCTCTCAGTTTGCAGGCTGGCACTCGGTCCACTGAGCCACACCAGCCAGGGCTGGGGTGGGGTGTCATTCACACAAAATAACCTTACTGGGTACTCCTTACAGCACAGGCGTTTTGCTTGGTCCTTGGAGTGAGTGACTGTGCCTCTGAATTAAACGGTTGTGAAGACTTAAGTGGTTTCCTGGTATTTCAGTGACTAGGCAGGGCTTGACAGTTAGGGAGTAGATGTTGCTAAAAGTTTAAACTTCTAATTAAAAAATTCCAGTTTCTTTTTGGGGGGTATTTATGTTGTGTGTGGTAAGGTAATTAAAAAGAACTTAACATTACTTAGAGGGGTAGTTGGAAATGCTTTTTAAAGTTGTTAAGTGTGATAATTTTTTGATCAGCTCGTGTTTACCAGACCACATGCTTTTTTACAATACATACATCTCATTATAAGACTCTGAGTGGTAAAACCCACCTAAAGAAAGAATATTTTGGCTACTAGCAGAGTCTTTGATTTCTGAGTACTTTAAAATAAATAAGATGATTTTGTCCTCTTTATTGAGTAAATAATAGTTGCTTTAGCATGCATAGTAATAACAGTATTATTTGATAGGCTTTAGTTATAAAATACACATGCTTATGGTCGTAATAATGTATTCTTAGCATTTCAGCAGGAACTTGATGCAAGACATGATAAACATGAGAGACTTGTAAAACTTAGTCGGGATATAACTGTAGAAAGTAAGAGGACAATTTTTCTGCTCCATAGGATTACAAGGTGAGTAAATATCTTTAAAACTTATTATAGTTGGATGCAGTTTGATAGGTTTTATATATACTGTAATACTTTATACCTCTCTGCACAGTAACTAGCTGTTGTTAGAATATTCTGTGACTTTTTGTCAACATTAGGATCAAAGGATTTTTGCAGCAGGCAGATTTTATCAGTAAACATTTTCTTTAATAGATACAGGTAGGTATATTTTTCTTGATCAGTGAGCTTTGGTAGTTTATGTCTTTCAGGGAATGTTGGCATCTCGTAGTATTTCTTTATGATCCTTTTATTTATGTAGGGTCTGTAGCGACATCTTTCCTTCTTGGTGCCGGTACTTTGTATCCTCTCTTTTTACTGATCAGTCTGGGTCAGCTTTGTCGCTCTTAAAGGGCACAGTGTTGGTTCCATGGACACTGTTTTCCTATTTTGTGTTGCGCAGGTGAATTTTTCCATTTGTATACTTTCTGTGGATGCATTTGCTCCTCTTTTTCTCGTTTCTTAAGGTGGAAGCTGAGATCAAAGAGGAAACTTCTTTTTCTGAATATGGGTATTTAGTGCTGTAAATGGCCCTTTTAAGTCTCTAAGGATGGTTGAGCTGCACTCCTTGAATTTTGATACATTGTTTTTCATTTTCATTCAGTTCAAAATACTTTCTCAGGGAGACTCCCTGGCTCCATGTAGGTTTCTGGTCCCTGCACTGTCACTGGGAAAGTTCCCAGGCAGTAAGACGGGACAGTCCTTAGGGCCCACGTCCTTTTTCTCACCTCTTTCAGGGGTCACTGTCCCATGCTGCCAGTTGTCCAGTGTCTGAAAATGATAGTTCTGTGTGTATTTTTCGTTTTGGTTGGTGGTGGGAGGCTGAAATCTGTCAGTGTTACTCCACCCTGACTGAAAGCAGACATCCCTAGATGTCATGTTTTTATGAACATAATTTTTCTTACAGTTCTGATTGTAATATACATAAAACTTTGTATACTTCTTTTTTCACTTAATACTATATTGCAGCATTTTTCATGTTTTTAAATAGTTTCAATAAAATCAGTTGTAAATTTCAGTTGATGTCCAAGTCTGTACAATATTTATTAATGGTCTGTGTTAAGTGATGATTAGAGGACTTCAGGTTTTCACTGTAGAGCATCTGGCTGATGTTTTAAAAGCTCCCAACGTCTTGGTTATAGTGCTCCTGACACAGAAGACATCCTGGCCGAGTCAGAAACGAAGCTGGATGGTGTCCGACAGAAGATACTGCAGGTGGCCCAGGAGCTGTCGGGAGAGGACCTGCACCAGTTCCACAGGGCCATTACTACGGGTACGTCTGGGCGCTCTCCGGCGCCGGCCGTAGTTTGTATCATCTCTCTGTTTGTTTATTTATTTAAAGAATTGTTCCCCCCATTTTTAAAGAGAGGGGAAGAGAAGGAGAGAGAGGGAGAGAAATATCAACATGTGGTTGCTTCTCATGCGCCCCATACTGGGGACCTGGCCCAAAACCCAGGCGTTTGCCCTGACTGGGAATTGAACCAGCGACCCTTTGGTTCACAGCCTGCACTCAGTCTACTGAGCTACATCAGCCAGGGCCTAACAGTGTTTTTAAAATAGCATGTTATGTGATTTATGTGTGAATTGCATGAATTTTAATTGATACTTGGGAAAATATTATTGACCTAAAAGAATTGGGACTGCTAAATGGTAAAAGTAATCCAAAAATGTTTTTCTAACTGTGCAGTTATAGGTATTGATTGATTTTTAGTAAAAGTCTGTCTCCTAGTGACTGTTTTCTCAGTTACTTTATCTCAAGTATGTAGGGTGAGTTCCTCTGCTAATGCGGGTCTGTCTGACTGGCGGCTCTGAGTGTTGGCTCTGCCAGTTTTGTAAAGGGGAATGCCAGCCCGGGGACCCAGACGTCTGGCAGTGCGACTCCATGCTGGGAATTTTAGGGTGACACTGAGTTTTATATTCATGTTAGAAGTTCCCGGGAGTCCTGGGTCTTAGCGATAGTCACCATCTGTAAATTATAGCTGATCCTGGAACAGCACAGAGGTCAGGGCTCCGACTACCTTTCCGCCCCTGGCAATCAGAAACTCATATAAGACTTTCCCAAAGCTCACTGATTGCCTGCTGTCCACTGGAAGCCTTCCCAGTGACATAAACAGTTGCTTAGCACATATTTTGTATGTGTTGTTATACTCATGAGTATAATATGTGTATTATATTCATATACACATGTGTATTACTATACTCATGAGTATAATACGTGTATTCATATACACACATGTGTGTATTACTATACTCAGTATAATATGTGCATTATACTCATGTACTGTATTCTTAAAGTAAGCTGGAGAAAATATGATATGAAGAAAATCATAAGAGACAGTAGCATTTACAGCACTGTACGTATTTGTGGGAAAAACCCCACATGTAAGTGGACCTGCACAGTTCAAACCAGTGCCGTTCGAGGGTCAGCTGTAGCATCAGTGCGCTGGTTTGCTTTTTTAATCCTCACCTGAGGGAGGATGTGTTTGTTGATTCTCGAGAGAGATGAACCTCAGCCGGTTGCCTCCCATGTGCTCCCCGACCGGAGATCGAACCTGCAGTGTAGGTTTGTCCCCTGATGGGGAATTGAACCCGTAACCTTTTGGCGTACGGGACGGTGCTCCAACCAGCTGAATCACCCTGCCAGGGCTTTGTTGTTTTTCAGCGTGAGTGCACTGACAGGAGAGACACCGTAGGATTCAGATACACCTAGACTTGCAAAGGTGTGTCTATCACATGCTGATCCTCTGAGCTCAGTCAGTTCCCACGGAGTCAGCTCCGTGGGGAATGAGTTCATTTCGTGTTTGCCCAGTACATGTCCAGTTTTAGCCTAAACACTTAAAACTTCAACACTTTTCAGAAATGCTGGCTTGTGGTGTGTTGAAATGTCTTTTTTGCTCAGTAATTGTATTACTGAGGTATAACGCACATACAGTATTATATTAGTTTCAGGTGTGTAAACTGGACTGACTTGGTGTCGGTACACCCGGCGGAATGACCATCATGGTGCGTCTGGGTAGCGCCCATCTCCACGCACGCTTCCCGTGGTGAGCTCTGAGGATCTACCCGCTCAGCAGCTTTCCAGTGGGCAGCACGGATTAGTGACAGCAGTGGCCGTCGGTGCCAGTGGCCGTGTGCCTGTGCCCGTGTGCCTGTGCCCGTGCGCCAGTGCCCGTGCGCCTGTGCCCGTGTGCCAGTGCCCGTGCGCCTGTGCCCGTGTGCCAGTGCCCGTGTGCCAGTGCCAGTGTGCCTGTGCCCGTGTGCCAGTGCCCGTGTGCCAGTGCCCGTGCGCCTGTGCCCATGTACGTCAGTCAAAGCTGTGGGGCCGAGGGTGTCACTGGAGACTGAAGTGGTAACTCAGACAGTTCTGTGAGGAGTCAGTATAATTAACTCCCAAAGGAGACACATTCCCATCCTCATAATTTATAGTTTACTAGCAGGGCTTTATGTGGTGTTTTAAATAATAGCACATAATAGAAGGGATCTGGTGGATTCAGTTTGCGTTGTCCTTGACTGTGGCGCAATTGGCGGGCTGGGAGAGAAGGTCAGAGGCACTGCAGGGAGGGTGGGTGAAGCGAAAGTGCACATACGCCTCCAAAGAACACACGAGCATGTCTCCATGACCTGTGGTAGGACAGGTTTTTAAAATGGCACAGATGAGCATTAGCTGCTAAAAGGAATGTGGGCATTTGAGGTTCACTAAATTTGAGAAATGCTGTTTGTCCAAAGAGATCATTAAGAAAGTGAACAGGCGGCCCTGGGGTTGGTCAGGGTTTTCCCCATGAGCCAAGGTTGCAGGTTTGATCCCCGGTTGGGGCACACGGGAGAATTAACCGATGAATGCACAGTGGGTGGAACAACAAACTGATGTCTCTCTCCCTCCTCCTCCCTCCCTCTCTCTAAAATTAATACATTTAAAACATTTTTAAATAGTTAAAAAAGAAGGTGAAATGGCAAGCTGAAGTCTGAGAGAACACACTCAGATACAATGTTGGATAAAGTACTCCTGTACAGACCATGTGCACAATTCCTACAAAGCAAAAGGAAGACAGTTTAAGAGTGGACAGAAAAAACTGAACAAAGGCCTCAGAAAAGGAGATGTTCGGATGGCTCACATCAGATCGGGCGTTCAGAGAAGGCGTGCCCAGCAGCCCGTTCACTGGAGTAATTCCCGTGAAATGCCATTCACTCACCGGCGTGGCTGAGTTGCAAATACCGCTTTTAAAAACCTGGGCAGTATTTAGCAAAAACTGTGTGCCTACTTTATGATCACTCCTGGGCACGGACCCGAGAGATGGGAGGCTTACGTTACTGAAAGATGTGTGAGAACGCTCACAGCAGCTATACTCGTGATGTCCTGACACCGGGACGTGGCCCGGTGCCTGTCACCGGGGAACGGAGGAGTGTGGTGTAGCTGCAGAGGCAGTGCTACTTGGCAACACAAGGTGATAAACACACGCAGCGCGCGTGTGCATCTCCCATTCTGCTGGGCGGGATCAGCAGATAAAGGAGTCCATGCCGTACAGTTCTCTTTGTGTGACGTTCAAACAGAGGCAGGACGGGGGCTGCATCGGGGTGGAGGTTGGGGCAGGGGTCGCTGACTGTAGGCGTGAGGGGCCTTTCCGGAGGGACAGAGATGTTTTATATGTTTATCTGGGTGGAGTGACACGGGTGTACACCTACGTAAAAATTCACCGAGTTAGACATTTGAGGTTTACACACTTTACTGTTCATAACGTATAATTTATTTTTTAAACGAAGAGAAGTCATTATTGACCGAGGAGTACTTAGCTCCTTCTCCAGAACAGTTCTGTGTCTCAGGAAATTGCATCAGTGATAATTCCCTTGATGGCCGTCTTACAGCGGGAAGGCAGCGCCGCACTCGGGAGAGTCCGGGTAGGGCCCTGGCGGAACGGGGCAGCCGGCCTCCAGGTTCTCCACTCCGCTGAGTCCCGGGGCCGTGCCGGGACACCGCATTCCGTGGCAGGCCTCTGTTACAGTCCGTAAATGCTCTTTGAACATGACCTACTCATGGGCTAAAAATGTAAAGGTTCCCTGCATCTCATTTTTCTGTTAGACGTCTTCAAAACAAGGTTGTTGAAATTGAAGCAATAAAGGTTTTTTTTTTCCCCCCTTAAAGTGAAGGGATAAATCGGTCAAATGAAGAGGTACTGGGACTTAAAAATCTGCCGACAGGTATTTTGTATGATAAAGTACGGCCATTTACAATTAGAGTAGCACTAACAGTCTGATGCTCATGAATAGCTTGCTGCTTGTGATTGTCCAGTGCTTGTTTTGGTGTCACTCCAAGTAGCTGTTCTTTGGACTTGAAGATAAAACAATTCTGGCACCGAACTAAAGGAGTCCTGTGCTTTTCCTCATTAAGAACAGTGCCGGTGGCACGCAGAGCATTCCCCCGAGGGCCGCTTGTGTGCACTCAGGCGCTGAGTGTGCTTCCAGCGGCCCGACCCCAGCAGGTCGGCTCCGGCCTCTGCTCAGGGCTCGGCAGGGCAGGCCGCGCGCTGGCCCGGGGCTGGGCGGGCACACGGGCGGGTCGGCAGTTGCGTGAAAGAAGAATTGTTGGCGCCCTATCGTGTTTTTGTTTTGTTTTTCTCTCTCATTGGAAATGAGCAGTGGGGGGGAAGTGTCCATGTCAAAGAAAGAAATGTATGTTACCAGGTGTGTTTTAGTTTTTATCACTGTGAAAGCGATAGAAATCGTCATTGAATTATGAGACATCTTGGTACATGAAACTTAAGTTCAGACCCTAACTGGTATTTTTAATTATGTTTGATGAGCAGTTCATTTTTTCTCCACCCAACATGATCTAATTTGATGTCCATTTCGTTTAGTGGATTTGAAATTTTTCTGGAGTGTGTTTTAATTTTGTTAGAAAGTATTCGTTTGCCTAATTTGTAAATAATTGTGCAACGGAGGGAGTGGTTTGAGGACGTCTGGTCCCACTGCCTCGTTTTGTAAAGAAGCTTCGTGATGGTGTTGGAGTCGACTCCGACCTGCTTTGTCTGTTCGTTCACCGCCTTCTTTCTCCCTGATGGCTGCTGCCGTTGGAGCTTCAGTCTGTGTTGCTTTCTCCAAAGCCACAGCCTTTGACTTGAAGCTCTCAGGTTCTGTACTGCTTAAAGACACTCATACGGCCTTTAATTTTACGTACATGGGTAAGTAAAATAGGTGTAGTTTAGATTTGCATTCCAATGTGAGATGATTCAGTGAACAGTTTTTGTGACTGTTTTAATAAGTGTGCATTATCATACCACA